ATCATTTGCCAATTCTCTTCATCTTCCCTTCTCATCTTCCTCCTATGCTAACCCAGGTCATTGTTTCTGAGTTTCTATTGGAATTTATCTCCCCTCTAGACTCGGCTGTTTGATAAATACCCTAGTGGAGCTGTAGTTGTTTTGTATCCAATAGGTCAGGGGTTCAATCCTCACTAATGTCAGTTTTTCGGTTGGAATTTTTTACAATTTTATAGCTTTAATGGAAAATTTTCCCCGGATAAGTTTAACAAGAATGTCAATCTAATTATTTGACAAAACATCTCGTACATTTTGATAATTCACACAATTAATTTATTTATATAGTTATATAATTATTTTGATTTTTGTCTAGTTAAGATAATATACGAAACATTTTCGGCCCCCCCAAACCCAAAATCCTAGCTCCGCCCCTGAGAACATGGAGATTGTGGAGGTGAAAAGAGAGCTTTCGATAAATCAATTACGTTCGGCCATGGAGATTCTGGGAAGTTTCTTTTTTCTGGCTTCTCGTAGAGAGAGAAAAAAGGAAGCTTCTGGGTTAATTGGGGAAAAAACCCAAAAATTCATTAGTTATTAAAAAAAATTCACAAAATACGTTAGTTAGAATAAAAATTCCCAATCTACACATGTTTCATATTCACCGCCTTTGTTTAAGGCAGTGAATGCAATCACCACATTAGACAAACACGGTGAATAAATCACCGCGTTTTGATCAAACGGTGAAGGCTTCACCGCAAAAGAGTAAAAAGGTTATGGCTTCACCGTTTTAGCCAAACGCAGTGATTTCTTCACAATTTTACTTTAAAACGGTGAAAGTATTCACCGCACTAGGGCACTAAGGGGAATTTCTCCATGTTTCCCACCCCTGGTAGGTAAAAATTAGGTCTAAACCACATAATGTTCACCGCTGTGGTTTAAGGCGGTGATTATCTTCCCCGCCTTTCTCTACGGCGGTGAACATTAGTTGTCTGTCCTATAAATACCCCCTCTAGACTCGGCTGTTTGATAAATACCATCCCCATTTTTGTCAAATTTAAGCAAAAATTCCACCAACTCTGGTTACAGAAGCTCCAATTGTTCGGTATGATATAATTTTGTATTGTTTATATTTTGATGTTTTAGTAGTTATATGAATGTATGTAATGAATTGTTGTTCGGTAGAGATATTAGATAAATTATGGTATGATTGATGTTAGTTATGAATTTCGATTAATTTGTTCATAATACTTTGACTATTGTAATGCTAGTTATGGTCGATTTTATCAGTTTCAAAAATATTATTTTCGTAGCCGTAAATTATGATTTTGGTTAATTTTATTCGAATTAAGCTAATAGTTACTTATTTTCAATTGCATATATGGGTAAATTCAAGAAGTTTCAGCTTATTATTCAGTGGAATGGTCGGGTGTCAAACTTTGACATTGGGATTGATTATGACAACAGTGAATCCACTTTGTTGAAAATTTAGTCGAGATTCACGTGGGAAGAACTTCGTGACATTTGTGCAGACAGGGTTTGTATGGGCGGAAAGACGAGAGTTGGTAAAATTACCTACCGATATCCAGACATGAGTGCTGGTGGGTTTATGTACCAAGAAGTTATCATATACGATGATGACGCGGTTACAATGATGTTACAGTTCCTAGGCGATAACGGGATGCGGCTTGCAGAGGTGTATGTTGAGACCGAGGCGGTCGGTGAAACTCATTCTCACCAGTGTTCTTATGATGATGGTTTTGCAGGAGGGTACAGATGGGTTTGTAGTTCAAGCAACTACGAAGGAGGTGGTTATAGAGGTGGACACTGACTGGGTGGTAGTACAAGCGACTACGGAGGAGGTAGTGGTGCAGGATGGGTGACATCGGAAGAATACCTTCGAGAAAGTACACAGCTCCCTATATACGCCAGCTAACATGGCCGATCCCCAACTCTTTTTGCCTGATCGCTTCCCAGTCACCAAGGAGCATTGGCATCCATATGCCTTGAATCCACCTGTTTGACTTGTCGGGGAACAGAAATCCACCAACCAAACCAATATGGTAGATGCGAGCATAGCGCTCTACTTGATCTTCCAGAGTGTCTGGGCCGATTTGAACCTCATTTTGGATGTGAGTAACGAACCACGGGATCGACACTTGTCCCGCATTCAACGGTTGATGCCCCCGCCCTTGAATTAGTGTGGTGGCCGGCATGTCAAAGGCCAAACGATCACGAATGAGCGGCCCCCGGAAGGTGGAACGTATGGGTTTTGGGGCGCCATCTCTCTGCCATCGCTGTAAGCAGATCGTTGTCGATTTCAATCCGCATGAAATTCCTCAACATACCCAACCCAGTCCTCTCTATATATGGCGGCAGTTGATCATGCCAAGCGGGCAAGTTAGTGGTCCATTTATGAATGGCGTGAATAAGTGATTCCTACTAAAAAATAGAAAAAAAAACATCAATTTGTTAGTTAAAAGAAAGCAAAATAAAATCTTATAAAATAATGAAATAAAGTAAATTGTTTATAAGGTACGTAGTATTGTGCCAAATTGCATTTACCGGAGCGATGTGTTTCTTTATCGTCATTTACCGGATTGTTGTGCCAAATTGCACAGGAGCGATGTGTTTCTGGATCAGATAAATACTTCGTATCTCTTGGCCCATAATGGATATGCAATCGAGGATCGTATATCTCGGCACGCATCTATAAAAAAAGTAATGAAATCAGATTGTTTTGATAAATAAAAAATCACAAAATCAAATTGTTTAGATTAAAAAATCACAAAAGAAAAACCAAGAACCTACCTAAAGAGCCTCTTCGTCCATTTTTTGGAGAAATGCGGACAGAGGTTCGACGGATTTTTAAAGGGACGGGCTTTAGGGTATAGCTCTAGTAATTCTTTCTGATGTGGACGATAGGACTTAGCCGCAACCACATGGATGAATGGAGGGAGAAAGAAGTATAATGTGGTGGTGTAATTTGGAAGAGTGGGAAATGGTTCTATTTATAGGAGAAGGGAACTGCCGAAAATCAATGCAGAGCCATCACCGCGTTTGACTAAGGAAGTGAATGACCCGGATTTTTCGAATGCGGTGAAAGGCGAAGATCGCTGACGTGGGAGGCTGTGAGGCATCGGATCTAGGAGGAAAACTAAAATCCACGCCTCACTGCATCCAACGGCAGCGGTGAAGCATCCGCGCGACGCAGATCGCTGACGTGGACAAACGCGGGAAAGCCCCGCTTTTCTCTCAGGCGGTGAATTCCCCGCATTTGTCCACGTAAGCGATCCGCGTCGCTTTCACCGTAGCCGTCCGATGTCGGGAACTAATCACTGCTTTTAATTAAAACGGTGAATACTTCACTGTTTTAATTAAACGCAGTGATTGGTTCTCTACACTTTCACCATTTTACTCTGCTGCTCTGAAGCCTTCACCGTGTTTGTCTAATGCGGTAATTACATTCACTGCCCTAAAAAAAGACAGTGAATGTGAAAGATGTGTAGATTGGGAATTGTTTTTATAACTAATGTATTTTGGGCTTTTTTTAATAACTAGTGTATCTTGGGATTTTTTCCGTTAATTGGTGGGTCGGGTAATTAGGTTAGGTTGGGTTATTTGGTTGATTGACATGGTGGGTTGGGTTCAATTTTATTTAATTTTTAAAATAGGGTGAATCATCACTTCCATTAGCCACGTCAGCAAAAAATTGACGGCATTAACGGAAACTGACGGAGACTAACAGAGTGAGTAAATATGGACTGTTTGACTGATTTGAGTTATGAACATTTAAATTAAATATTTTTAGTGACTAAACATGACACTTTTTAGAAAAACCAGTGACCAAACTTGTCATTTACAAAATAAAAATAAAACAATAAAGGCTTCACAAAGTTAGATCCAAAACGCACCGTGTAATTAAACATGGAAAATTATTCCGTGAAACCCACCTAAAGCCGCAATTTCAAAATGAAGAAAAATGAAGTGATGAATGTGTAATTGTGTATTATATATGTTGGGTTATAGGTATAATATGCCCCTCTACTATGTAGTTTTATCAAACATGCCCCTCGACTATTTTTTACATCAAACATGCCCTTTTACTTTGGAAAAATGATCAAACATGCTCTTTTGTTAAAATTTTCATTAAAAACTCTTCAACCATGGTTGAACCGAGATATAGACGACCCGACATCGACAAATGAGAGAGAAAATATCAGTTTTGTCCTCCATTTATTTCTCTAGGTCTTGTTAAAGTAAAATTATTAGAGGTATTTGGCTCTACAAAAGAACCAAAAAAATTCTAAAGTGAATTACCAGGGATATTATAGACATTTGTGTCGCCCAAACCAAGGTTTGACCGTGATTGACGGTAATTTGAAGGGGACATTATTAACAAAGACGAGTCAAAGAAGCAACTCTACATTTTGAACTAAATGCATCGTTTAGCTTGCTGATTAAAAATTGCCACCGTCTCCAAAACCATCTTTCCAAAATACTCTTTCCAGTTCCAAACATATTGGCTCTTCTATTTCAATGCAGCACTGTTACTTGGATTTTTTTCTAGATTAGAGCCTTCACGCAACGTGTCTTATACGAATTCAATAAAGGAACTCGAGTATTGCTTTAGATCGAAGAGACATAGGCTTAGAATGAAGAGAAATAGAGGATGTGAAGGCTAAAGCTATAAACTACTTGGTTTCAATGTTCTCATATTAATAAATGAAAGACGAAGTACATATTTATAGGCACAGAACATCTCATTTCTCCTACCTAAAACATGAAACTTCTCCTACAAGGAAACAATAACCAAATCCTAAACAACTAATATAAAACACTCCAAATCCTACTAAGACAATTAAATAATAATAATATGAAATTCGAAGTAATTAATTAATAAGACTACGAAAAATGTATGAGCCAAGAAATTTGTAAATAATTATGAATAGCTCATATCGTAACAAACACCATTACATGCATCCAGGAAACTGCAATCCTTGTAACAATCAGCAAAGCTTCCCCTAGAAATTAAAGCAGTCTAAGAAACTTATACCGTCACGCTTGAATCCTGACAATGAAATCGTAGATGGGGTGTAGGCAACGATCCCGAAAATACGCCAATCCTTATCTCCATGGCCGACCTGAAGAGGCTTAAGCTGTTGGGTTTCAGGGTTGAAGAGATTAAGCTCTCCATTCTCCCCCATCGAAAAATAGTAGCCGTCCTTCCAAATTCCAGGAAGGCTGGTCATGTAAGAGAACGTATCGGACGAAACAAGTGGGCGCATCAAATATCCTTCAAAGCTAAACAACTTAATCCAATTACCAGAAGAAGCTGACAACGATGAGTCTCTATTAACCAACTTCTTATAGTCCAGGATCCCCCATAACTCATAATATTGAAAGAAATTATCCACAAACTTCCAATCAAACATATTATAGATTGCCAGGATGGAGTTGCTTTTCAACACGAGACCCATGGCGAGGGGATCTGTATCTAAAAAACGAGCAACCCGGTCATGATACATCCCAAACGTTTCAAGCTTGAATGTTTGCTTGCTCATGTTGAAGTTCATAATGTAGCATTTTTTACACATGTGGCAGGAATGGAACCATGAGGTTATGTTGCTATTACGGTTGACAAGAAGCTTGTAGTTCCCAGCAAAAAAGGGTAGAGGAGAATTCTCAAGAGCCATCTTGCTGCTTATTCTAAGCTCCCTCCACTTGTCATCCCTCATGCTGTAAACCCAAGTGCAAATCAATGGGAACTTGGAGGAATGACTAAACTGATCATGGTACCCATTCCCATCGACCGAAAATTGTCTATAAGATCTCAAGGTGAGAATCACGACGATTTTGTAATCGCTCGTCTTTGAATCAAAACCGAAACTCAAATATTCGTCGACTGTAGGGAACCTTGGCAGTTGAAGGAAACGATCATGAGGAGGAGGAGGGCGAGAGGGAATTGAAGGAATTGAAGGCAATTGCTTGGCTTCTCCAGTTGTGGGATTCCATAAAATCAAACATGAGGCAGCCACTCGACCATTTTTTCGACTACCTATACACAATATCCCATCGCAACTCCCTACAATAATCGAGTTATTAGGATTAATGTTAACTACTACTTCAGGAGGAGGAGGATTAAGTCCATTTTCATCTAATACATTTTGCTCTCCTATAATGTTGTAAGAGAGCAAAGAGTATGTCATTCCACGTGCATTAATATCATCATCATCTTTAGGGGTATAATCAAAATTGTACTTGAAGAAGGCGCCATGAAGAACTTCATAAGGACGATCAAGATACACCATTGTCTGCCAACGAAAACGATGGAGACGAGTACGCATCACAATGATCTGTCGGCAGCTATCCATTCGATTGTCAAAACTTAGAAAACTGTGAATGAAATTGGGATGTGACAGAATTTGACACCATAATTTGCTGAGGCAACGGAGTCTGACGATGCAAGAACCATCATCCACCCTCTTCAAAATATCGATTACCAATTCATTCGGAAACCAACTACTACTCCAACTCATAGTATTACTATTACTACTCCTCTTTTCGTTACTATCATCTCCCTCTTTGTTATTTTTTCCAATGCTTGAAACCTCCGTTTCCAATGCCCCGTCAACTAATTTGCTCGTGCTACCTCCCATGATTGCTAGCTGTTTTGGGTTTTGTACATAATGCTGTTTTGGTTGATGCGGCATGATATAGTTCCATGCATAAAGTACATGCATAAGAATAGTTCTTTTATGGTATTCTTACTCTTACCGATTCTAGTGCATGAATATGTTGCGTGGATTGGATGGTTCACCAAATTTGATTGTTAATGGTTGCTTCCTTGAGTTCATTCCATAACTTGCGTAAGTAGGAATTGTTCTTTTCTACGCCTTCCCCACTTTTCTCGTTTTCACGGTTTTAAAAAATATTCAGAACTCCCACAAAAAATATATATCAAGAACCAAACCACAACAAAAAGTTAACATCATTTTAAATGTCATACTTAATTTGGTAATACATTATTTCTATTAAAATAACATTAATTATCAAACCGTTAAAACTTAAACATAAGATTACCACAAAGACTTGAAAAGATAGTGAAAGTATTTTTCATAAAACATCGTTATTACAAAATTGAGTTAATAGCATTATGTACCCCTTTACTTTTGTAAATTAACAAACATACACCTCTATTATTTTTTGCACAAACATACACTTTTAATATTAAAACGTAACAAATGTGCCCTTCCGTCTAATTTTCTGTTAAGTGATCATAAAAGAGACTGGAAAATGACCCAATTGCCCTACCCTTACTCCTACATCCTAATTTCAGTTTTAGTTATTTTGTTTATGATTTATTTATGTCCCAAATAATTTAATTAAAATAACAAACCCTAACAATTCATTGGGTGCCACTTTCGGAACCTGAACGGGAAACCCATCAATCTCTCTCGCCCACGTATTTGTCCTCTCCTTCTCGCATTTCAGACACCCAATAAATTCCGGCTTCCACCACTACTCCTCCTCCTGCACTTTTTCTCACCAATCCATCACTCCCATTCGCGAATGGCCTGAGAACCCATACAAGCAAGCACGAGCAACAATAACTAGAAGAATAAACGTATAGGATTAGTGAACTAGCTAACTGTTCCGTTTAATGTCATTTCTTGCGGGCGGGGGTATGGCCGTATGGGTGAGTCGCTATCGAACCTTATGGAAGGTGCAAACGGCACGGTAATAGAGCCAGGGCTCGATGACATACCAGAAAGCTGTGTGACCTGCGTCTTCACCTACTTGACGCCGCCAGAGATTTGCAACCTCGCGCGGCTCAACACGCGTTCCGCGGTGTGGCGTCGTCAGACTTTGTTTGGGAGAAGAAGATGCCGAATCGAGGGAGAACAGGGGAGACAGATTGTTTATTGTGACTGCCGGTTAATTATTTAGATTTTTCATTTTAATTAGTTTATTTGGGACACAAATAAATTATAAATAAAATAATTAAATATGAATTTATGAGTGTAGGAGGGAATTTTGCGTCATTTTTAGTCCCTTTAACGACCACTTAACAGAAAATTAGACGAAAGAGTACACTTGTTACGTTTTAATATTACAAGGGTATGTTGTGCAAAAATCTAGTAGAGGGGTACATTTGTTAATTTACAATAGTTAGAGGGGTACAAAATGCTATTAGCTCTAGAAAATTTAAAACAAATAAATAAATATTTAAAAAAAACTCACAACAGCATATTTAAAAAAATATATATTTACAAAAATTGACAGCATAAACATTCGTAATAAACACACATGAAGTCTCTAAGTACAAGAGATTGATAAATCTTCATATTGGAAGTTATCTATAGTCTTTAATCTTCAAATGATCTAGTTGAATCCCTTAGTATGCTTCTGATACTTCTACAATTTTTGAGCACCTGTGTGAACTTGTGTCATAATCCTAGGTTCATTTTGATATGTCAATGAAATCATTCGATATACTTATAAATGCATATGCTCGTGCAATACTTGCTAATTAAAAGCTTAGTTTACTCGAAATAGCTTTTCTTAATACTTGTTCTGAAATGAGGCCATGATCCCTTCTCACAACTTATCGTATTCTTCACTACAACTTATGGATCGCCTTGGTAGTTTCCTTGCACTTCTTAGATATCTTTACATCGATAACTTGTTCTAATTTACTCATTGACAAGACTTATCGAACTCTTCATTCGTTGACAACTCTGATGTCATAGTGTTTTCCGACGAGAAAACTTGCGTAGAAATCGAATTGATAGTACCTTGACTTCTTGGACAACGATTAAATTAACAAATTTCACACCTCTTCAAACAAAGTTAGAACTAGGGTGTTCAATGTTTACACAAATCACAAGACGGATCTATACTAAATTAGTCCTACTCCTATGGAGGTTCAGTGAGAGATCCAGATCTACGACTATGGCTAAAATTTGCAGAGGAAAGATAAAAAGATAACAGTTGACATTGGCTTGTCTGTTGTGAATTTAGCGAACCCTTTCTCTGTCAACTCCTCCTCGTATTTATAGCCGTTAGGTAGTAACTGACGTAGAAAACCGTCAAGAGAGTAACTTCCAAAAAAAACTGCTTCCCTTCTTCCTCGGTCGTGGCTGGCGTGTCCTTAAACGTGGAATAATCGGCAGTTTCTCAGTTAACCGCCCAGGTGCCTCTCTCTTTTGGAGCTGAAGTCTTGATGCTTGCGTCCTCTCCACCATGTCCTGTCAGATCTCACGTCTAAGGTCGTCAAGATCTCGCGAACATGGTCTAATCTCACGAATAAGGCCTTCTAAATCTCGCGACCAAGGCCGTTAGATCTCACGACCAAGGTGGTGTAAATCTAGATCTCACAATGAAGGTTGTCTAGATCTCGCGACCAACATGGTTTACCAGATTTAGTCGTATTTCGTGGCTTTCATCTCTTCACATAGTTTGCCTTCTCACGTCCAACTCAGCACATAGCTTGCTATCTCACGTCCTACTCGTTGTCTTAGATCTAGAACGTGGTCTAGATCTCACAACCTACGTGGTTGTCTAGATCTGGATCTCGTGACAAAGGCCTTCTAAATCTCACGACCAACGTGGTCTAGTCTCACGATGAAGGCCGTCTAGATCTCGTGACCAATCGTTGACTTAAATCTCGATATGGTCTAGATCTCACGATCTACGTGGTCCTCTCAAACCTTGCGACGAAGGTTGTCTAGATCTAGATCTCGTGACGAAGGCCTTCTATATCTCGAGACCAATGTGGTATAATCCCATGACAAAGGCCATCTAGATCTCGCAACCAACATCGTCTAATTTCGATCTTGCGACAAAGGTCTTCTAAATCTTGCGACCAACGTCGTCTACCAGACTTAGCTCCCTCGTGATGAAATTAATGCCTTCTCGAAAAATTAGTCGGCTGGGTGTTACGAATTGATCTAATAACATTAATGCCTTCTCGGAAAATTAATGCCACCCTCGCGATCAAATAACATTAATTGTTATTAATTGATCTAGTCTTATAAAGATAATAGATACCTTGTAAATAATCAATGTGGTACAGGATTATTGTTAAGGGTGTAAACACATAGAGGCTCTTCGAATCATTCTATGGTCATCGAGTTGTATTAAGGTCACGAAATATGGTTCCATATTCGACCTCTAGCCTAAAAATGGAATGAATTCATGTGAACCCTATTCTAGGCAAGGTAAGTTAAGAATTCATCTGTTAGTTCCTCAAGGCCCAGACTTGATAACGTTTGTTCTTGTCATGACCATTTATTATAATCTTCTGTTTTGAGTGTTAGATTTTTTCACCAATACCTAGATGGATTGGTTTGGTAGCTTAATCATGTAAACTGGCTTGGGGTTTTTTTACTCATACCCCAATATCATTCCAACTCATTACCGGTGGTTCCTCCTTCTATCATATACTTGGCACCTCTTGTACTCTTTAAATCAGGATTATTCATAGTGGCACATGTTGGCACACCTTAGAACTTCTGACTTCTACAATAATATATCTTAGGTTCCTCTTGCATGATCCAACTTATTCCTTGTGTCCTACTTATGAATTTGGACGATATATTGGCAGAGGAATCTCAGTAAAATATGAGTCCTCGCTTTGTTTTTATAGCTAGGAAAGATATTAAACAAACCACGACAGGTGTCTTTACATGATTTGCAGGATATTTAAATAAACATAAATGCTAAACAACTAATAATAACTACTGTTACACTGTAGTTTTCACTCTTTTCTTTCACGCGACTCCATTGCACGACGTCGTTCTTCTCTTCTTTCCAACTCCAAATCCTTCTGCAAATAGGATTGCAGCTTCTCCATTCCCTTATCTTCTACAACAAACATTAGACCATCGATTATGTCAGCCCCCTCAATTCGGTGGTATCAACTTGATCCCCAACTTGACCAAAAGTTCCTTTAGTTTGAATCGGTCAAGCCCCTTTATGAAAATGCCTGCAAGGTTGTTAACAAAATTTCCATGCATGTCTATTTGGATATGTTTAATCCTCTCATGGAAGATTGGGTTCTCTCCTATGTGATTAGCATATATGTTGTCACAATAAATAGTTATGGGAAAGGGAACTTCAATTGAAAATTTTGTTAACAACCTTTACCATTCAACCTTAGAAATCAAGTGCGTTAATGCTTTGTACTTTGCTTATAATGACGATCTAGAGACCGTAGTTTGATTCTTAGTCTTCTAGGTCACCAGAGAAGAACCAAGCAAAACGCAATATCTAGAAATGATCTTCGTGTGTCAGGGCAACTTGCCCAATCTGAGTCACTGTAATCTGTCATTTTCAAGTCAGCTTCACTGCTAAAATGAATTCCTTGGTCTGGTTAGGACTTCAAATACCTTAGAACTATGTAAGCAGCCTACAAATGTTATGTACATGGTGTTTTTTATATTGGTATAGTTGTTGTACATCAAATGCAATGTCTGGCCTTGTAATGGTAAGGTAGTGTAGTCTACCAACTAACCTCCTATAGCCTTATCCATCC